TGCGATTTTAAATGATTTATATCAAATTTCCGAATTTCGCCATTTCATTCCAATCGAACTGAAATCAACTATTTGATTCCAATTTGAAATGATTTCTATCGAAAAAATAAAATTCTGTTTGTTGGCGAAATATTTTTCGTTTTGGAATATTCGATTCAATAACCTATTGTCGAAATATTTTGTGACAAAAAAGAATGCATCATCAATCATTTGAGCATAATAATTGATGTTGAACGTGGCAATTTGATGTGCTTTGTGCGAATGATGTGCTAACATTTGACGCACACACTTACTCAAATAGATGCCGGGGAACATTTTGTGTGGCTGATAATCATCAAGAAAAGTTGTAGCTTATCGGTCGAGCAAAGGGCTTAAATGAGAGAGAAAAAAAAAACAAAAACATCGAATCAACTCTCTTATTCTGACAACAAAAGTGCCTCAATGTGGTAAATAAGACATGTGTGTGTGTACAACAGCGTATCGTCGTCAAATGACAAAGTGTATGGTTGTGAATGAGTTCAGGCAGGATCTCTATCTGTATCTGTCCTTCATAGTCACATCAGAGTTCCATCTCTTTCACGCCCGCTCACTTTCCGTTCCTTGGGCCGCTTTATCTTCAGAGCAAGAGAAAGAGTGAGAAAGCGAAATAGAATGAGAGAGATAGAGAAACGGAGGGAGGGAGCATGAGAGAGAGAGAGAGATTTCATTCGAACCCACCCCCCCCCCCCCCCCGGGGGGGGGCCCCCGGAATATGAATGCGAAAAACACCGAAACGGTAAATATCGGTTGTTATGCTCGCTGTCGTTATTATTTTGCAAAACACACACATGCACGATATATGCGCTTCAAGCGGAAAACTCTGCTCGGTATATGTTATATATATTTATTAATTTTAATTATTTTCAAAAAGTTTTTGTTACACATACATATTTTCAACAGGCTGATATTGTTTTACAAATATGGATGTTTAATGTATTGCCGCAATAAAATCTATTTAAATGGGCTGAAATCCTTTTTCCGCCTTTTCCACTCCTTTGCTTTGGCAAAAAAACACTTCCAGCACACTCGGCTTAGCGTAGCGTGTCAGTCAGTCACACCACACGACACATGCATGCAGAGAGAAGAGCGTGTTTCCATATCGTTCATCCATTAATACCGTATTTAGAGGACCCATTTATTAGACAGTAATCATTTGATAATAAACACATTTGCTGGTGCAATCACACCAGTAAATCGATCACGTTAAAAGCGCTGGCGACGAGTCACGTCACCTTTAGAAACACACCAAAAAAACAAATCTCTGCATTTGACGTTGTTGAAAATGTAATGCCTCAAAAAGTTTTTCACAGAAACAAAAAACACACCGATCACACAAGCTCAGTTGCAGAAAGAAAACGCCTTGAAACTCGTGTCTTCGGGGAAAATACAATTTTTTTCTGGAAACACCGACATTTGAACGTAGAAAACGTACAATTTCAATTTGAGAGAATGAATACACCAAAGCAGTAATGAACGAGCAGGGACAACGTTGATCATTAAAAATTAAATATATATTTTTTTAAATTCTTGAAAATAGACTAGACATTCTTCTTTCAAATATTTTTATTCTTTTGAAGATTTTTTCAAAATGAATTTAGAAAAACTGTTTGAAGTCCAAATCCGTATTCAATTGTGGTATCTTAGAAATTCAAGCACACCTATGCCTCTCCTACTCCTTCTTCTTCTTCTTCCTTTCTTTTTCTTCTTCTTCATTATTCACTATGCGTGAGGCCAAAGTGATGATATGTTTTGACGAAAATTGCGGCGAACTCATGAACTAACGAAATTTCAATACAAAATGATACGACAGTCCGTGGCGCTGCTAGCACTCAAAAGCTGTTTTGTACTAAGATGTCGTCATCTTGCCGTGAGGCGCACTAAAATCTCCCATTGAAATCATTTTATTCCATTCATGAGTATGGGAATTAGACTCCTTGTTCATAAACGTGGACCACATTTCAGTGGGTTTTGATCATTTTAAATAGTTTCGTGCTGTTCGCTTTTGTTCTTCAAACTTGGTGCACATTTAATTGCTGGAAAATAATTTTTGACAAGCGGTCGGCCATGGGATGACAATAATCAACAAACAAATTAAATCAGCAGCAAAGTGCAACAGCAAGGAAAAATGAGACTGAATAAATTGCAACAGAAGGGCATAACGAGGCTATTCGTTTCGGACGAATAAAAGAGGATCTTTTAAAGAGCCATGGAGAAAAACGACATTTTTACCATTGAAAAACTGCAGTTCAATCAATTTGAATGGTGAAATGGTTCAATGTTATTACACAGTAAATTTTCTTAGGGGGTGGACAGTGTACAATTGATATCCACATTGGATAGGCTAAATCTATGCGAATCTTCACGGATTTCAATGAATAGCTGTCAAAATGATTTAAAAAAATGAAAGATTGAAAATTTCATTCGATTTAAATAAATCTATGTTAATCTTTCCGATAACTCTTTGCATTGAATACAGAGGTGAATCTGTATCTGTGAATTTCTATTGAAGATTGATTAGGTTTTAAAAATCTGGCAATTAGTTATTATATCATCGTCAAATATCACCGTTGTTTTAAATGTTTGTGTGAATTTCGTGTCAATTTGCCGGAAAGTTTGAATTTTTTTTTCAATATTTTGAATGACAGCTTCTCCTTTGTGCCACTGAAAACTGGCGTTTTTTCTTGTTATAATAAAGAGATCACCCCAACAATACCTGCTCGACTGGATGCATTTGTTGAAAAAGTTTTTTTTGGCATTTTGAACATTTTTGGGCTGAATTTTGACTTCAGTGTGAAAACAAGTGCCGAAAGGTGGAATCGGAAATATGGAGATACAGAGAGAGTAAGAGCGTGAAAGAGAGAGAGAGAGAGAAGTAGGTGCATCTCTGCATGTATTTGAATTGCATCCGTTGTGACAAGCATATCTAATATCTGCGTGAATTAACAAGAAAAATAAACAACCGTATTAAAAACGAGCGAAAATGGTAGAGCAACAGCGAGAAAAGAAGAGAGTGAGTGTATAGTAAAACAACCATTAGCAGCAACAAAAAATTGCATGTACATGAGGATTTGATTTGCTCAGTAATGTGATCGTTGTGCATGGCGTGCTGGCAAAGCGACGGCTGATTGCACGGCAGTTAGAGAAGGAGAGCGAAAAAGCGAGAGAGCAGGAGAAAGCGAATAAATTTTCACTCAGGGTTGCAAACTGTTGTTGCTTTTACGAAGTTTTAATGTAAAATAAAATGAAAACTTCATTGAATAACCTAAAAAGGTAAATAACAATAACGACGACGGCATCATCAGCCACAGCGCATCAACTCGATAAAAGTTTTAAATGAAATTTTTTGATAAACAAAAATACAGAAACGCTCTGCCCATGTACGATGTACGATGTGAAATGAAAAATTGCAAAAGCGAACGCAGAACGGGGTGAGCGAGAGAGGAGAGATGAAATAGAGAAAACAAAAATGATGTTGATGATGAAAATGAAACCGAACATGAGTCTCATTCGGTACACAACGGATTTCTGCGAAGAAAAAGAGAGAAAATGAGAGAGGCAAGCAAGAGAATAAAGAAAAACACCGAGGATAAAATTTACAAGCGTAAATAGAATATATGTATGCGGGATTTAAACTAGGCGAAATTAAGTTATTCAAGTCGAATGTAAAAATATCGTTGCATTTTCTATCGTGTACACGAGACAAATTCAGAGAACGAGATGGAGAGAGAGAGATAGAGCATCTTGTCTTTGTGTGTGCATGAAAAACTGTGATCTGGAATCGGTGCCATGCCGCGCGCCGAAACACGATTTTGGCTTCGCTATGTCGACGAAACGAGGGAGAGAACGAGCGAGTGCGAGTGCAAGAGCCAGAGAGAGAGAGAGAAAGAATCTATTTTCGAAAGGAGCGCGCGAGTGACAGCTACAGCGTTGAAAATTGTTCGACAAACTTATTTCGTGCATTGAGCCGAACCAGCGTTGACAGACAGAGGTGTGCAAACGACACACAAAATCGCGAAACAGAATTTATCTAGAAAAGTGCTTTCACTCGACGGATTTGCAACGGCGAGTGGGTGGCAGGAGCGGGTTGGTTTGGTTGTTTGGTTAATTCATGGGGCTAGGTTGTGAAGAGCGCGCGCGCCTGATAGACACGGTGAACCTAAATTTCAATGACTTCTTCGTCGTGTTGTGTGCATGTGTGTGTGTTGAATGTGGCGTGCGCGCATCAAACTTGTACTTTTGCAAATAGATTTTATATTGAAAATAGAAAGAGCGCGCGCGAATGAGCCTCCCAACGAAAAATCAACAGTTTTTCACTCGGCGTCAGTTTCATACCATATTTTTCTTTCTCCACTTGTTTTGCTCTTTGTGCTGAGGTTCTTTCTTTCTCTCTTTTTTTAATTATTTTATGCAAATTATCTCTTTCGCTCTCTCTCTGTGATTTTTCTCCTGGTGGTGTTAAAGAACTTTTCGGCCAGCTTTTCGAGCGTGTACACGTTTTCCCATGTTGTGTCACGTTAAACGTTATCGACACGTTGTTGCTTCTTCACATTGGATATGCTGATTTTGGGCATAGCACCAAAATATGATGCACGACACAACATAACATTGGATGAGTGTGTGTGTGTGTGTGATGTTCAGCTCAGGACCATCAAAGCAATCCACCAGAAATTTAAATATTTGACTCATTGCAAAACTTTACATTCATTTTAAATTCAAATGAATGATTTTCGAGCAACAACACAAATCCCATACATATTGTATGTGTGGCCGTTTTTTTTTCGGGAAGTGGAGAGCGCGCGAGCGAAAGCTTGCAGATATGAATAATTAGCGTAGATCCATTTCAAAGAAGATACAAATTAATTGTAAACTTTTTCGCATTTTTCTTGGCTGTTGCACTCTTTTTCTTCATAGTTTACTCCAGAATGAAATATTCAATGTTTTTCTTTTGCTTTATTTTACAGACGAAAATGTGAAATGGACCGTGAACGGGATATGTTGTCATCAATGGAACCACGTGATTTATCATCATCGGGTCGTATATTTTCGGCGGCCACAGCGGCTCAAATTAAAATTAGCACATCACCAACACGATCGCCAACCATGTCGAATTCATCGTCACCAACGCACACACCAACCACACCAGCACCCATTTCGCCCGCATTGAGCAGCGGCACCACCAGCACATACCATCATGGTAATCATAAGACAATCACTGGTATACCATGTGTTGCGGCCGCATCCAGATACACGGCACCCGTGCATATTGACGTTGGCGGCACCATTTATACCAGCTCATTGGAAACATTGACCAAATATCCCGACTCCAGATTGGCCAAATTGTTTAACGGCACCATACCCATTGTATTGGACTCACTGAAACAACACTATTTTATCGATCGTGATGGCGGCATGTTTAGACACATTTTGAATTTTATGCGCAATTCCAAGCTACTCATCCCCGATGATTTTTCTGACATCGATCTACTGCTGGAGGAGGCACGCTATTTCGAAATTGGACGTAAGTGTGAATGGATTGATTGAAAAATGGAAGAGTTTATTTTGGTTTGAAATCGAGTTCGGAGAAAGGAGAGAAAAAAACATTGAGTTTCGGAATTGGGGAGTAAAATCGTACAAATTCGCCTTTTTGAGACCAATTTTGAATGAATTCCACTCTTGATTGAAGATTAGTTGAATTAATTCGACATTTCCGCCAAATTTTTTGTGAAAATTCCCAAAGAAGGTAGAAAAATCAACTCTTTTCACACAATTTTGGGACAAATTTGAAGTTTTGAGAGTTTTTTTTTTCCAAAGAAATCGACTCACCTCAGGAGATTTGTTCAGTAAAATCTTTTTGTACAGCAAAAAAGAATTTCTCTTTTTTTCAAACCATTTCTTGAATAAAACCCTCAATTTTGAAGAAAACATGATACTTTGTAATGAAATTAGTGCACTTGTTGGAAGGCACTGCGTTTTAAAACCGATTTTCAACTAAGAAATCAATCTCTTCCAATTTTCCATATCAAATTAAATGCAAATTCCAAATCAAATCGTTTAAATTGATCTAAAATTACTGTTCTCGATCTTTCGTCCAACAGCGATGGTGAAGCAGCTGGAGCAATCGAAAAAGGATCGAGTCATTCGAAATGGAAATACAACGGCACAGAATGCACTGGGCACATCAACGTCACCAATGAATCCGTCACGCATGAAAAACCATCAAAATCGTACACAATCGATGGACACATATGAAATTGTTGCGTTGCACATATCGCCCGATTTGGGTGAACGCATTATGTTATCGGCCGAACGTTTCATCTTGGATGAAATCTTTCCGGAAACGAATCAAGCGGTGCTCGATGGTCGCACAAATGTCGCATGGAATCAATTAGACGGTCGACAAATCATTCGATTCCCGCTCAATGGATACTGTAAACTCAATTCCATTCAAGTGTTGACACGTTTACTGAATGCCGGTTTCAGCATTGAGGCCAGCACAGGTGGCGGTGTCGAGGGTCAACAATTCTCTGAGTATTTGCTTGTCCGAAAGCATTCAACAGTGTGATATTTATAAGTGCATCAATGATATATGTGACACTCATTTCTTCGCCAACACCCCAAATCACCATATTTAATCTCGTCTCTCTATCACACATAATTTATTTGAATAAAAAGAAACACACACACACACACACTCAGAAGAACATGAGAAATGAGAATGTGTTGCGACACTGTGTCGATTGGTCAAATCATAAAACTAGACAAGATTAAGAGGACTTATCTCTCTCACACAAACACATTGAAAAAAAATAAACTCTACATTCATCAAATAGTCAATTTTTGTTTCTTTTGGCGTTTTCTATTGGCCCGATGCAGGCAACAATGTAATTGGAATTTAATAGATGATTAGTAAGAGGTTTTATTGCTAGATTTACACAAAAACCCACATTAAGGCTAAATGAATCAAATCGAATTTGTTACAAACACAAGGAACGAACAGGAATTTTATTTCAATTGCTTTGATTCGTTCAATCACTCACACACCCATTTTTTTTAGCAATCGAACTGAATTTATTTAGATAGATGCGAAAATTGGTAATTTCATTTTATGAATAAGGTCATTTTCTCTGGTGAAAACATTTACACAAAGACAAAACCATCATCTATGATTTTATTGCTCTCGATACAAAAAACAAAACATGATTCTATGTTCAGTGGACTGGTTTGAATCATTTGAAACTACAAAAAAGCATGAAATGGCATAGTTTAATTGAGATGATAACATCTAAAAAAAAACACACAAAAAAATCAAATTACACGAGAATGGCAATGGCATTTGTCGGATTTTTCTGTTAAATTAGGATGAAATTCTTCGCACTAAGTAATTATTAACTTCATAGACATTTGTATAAAAATAAAAATGCTAAAATTGACTATAAAATATTGTATTCTCATTTAAAAAAAAAACAAGCACGTGGTTTTCTTTCCATTTTCAGTTTATTTCCCGGTCGAAAAACGTTTTTTCAACTGGAAAATTCTTGCTTTCTTGAAGAAACTTCTTGCTTTCTTGGTTTTTCAGACAAAATTTTGGTTTTAAAACGAAACTTTGAGTTTTCCAACTCAAGTTTTGGGTTTTGGTGAAAATCTACGGTTTTCTTTGGACTTTCAATAAAAAAGCTGGCTTTTCCAAAGAAAATCCGTTCTTTCGCTTTCAATAAAAGCTGTACTTTTTCACAAAAATCGTCATTGAAAATCTTTTTTCTGCCAAAAATTCATTTTTCAGTCAAAATTCTTTCCTTCTTCAGAAATGTGATTCAAGGCCTGATCGTCTTCAGAACATCCATTTCATCATTTTATCGGCGCTGTTACCGAGGCCATGAATAATGCAATAGCTTCTGCAAAACATCCGTTGGCTGGATTGAATGTTACATATTGTGACAAAATAAGTTCGTTGATCAAATGGTCCGTTCATGTTAAGCTTGCGAAGCAGCGCCATCTCTCCCGTGATAGCCGAGTCAAACGTTATAAAGTTGGTGTAAAGCTTTTACCGCATGTTACCGTTGCGTTACTCACAGCCTGTCGAAGTTTCAAACCATCTCACTCATTTGTACGCCTTATCACATTCAGCCGTATCACACTCAACGTCAGCCCATTTGATACCGGCAACCAACGATTCTCAATACTCGTTGCACTAATTTAACTCATTCGAATCGGAATGTTCACCACTCAGTGTGCTCACAAATGCTCTCCAAACAGAAACAAAAACCATAAACATATCGCACAACAGAATGTAAACAAAAATAAAATCGATGCGACCCTTGATTGGCACAATTTATTTTGTCAGAACTTTTTGCATGTTCGTTTTGTAATTTCCACCGTTTGACTGTGTTTACTTTATAGTATATTCAAATTATGGCATCCCATAAATATTTTTGCACACGAAATCGAAATGAAAATGTTTGTAACGAAAAATGCGCGGTATGTCGCGTCGAACGCAGAGAAATAATTTCCAAACCAACTGAAATCAATTTAATTATTTTTTGGAATCACATTTTTTGTCGACTCCAATTGAGATGAAGTGGGATAGAAAAAAGACGAAAAATGATATGAAATGTAATCACAATAGAAAATGATTTGGGATTGAGGAAATTGTTTGTGATTCAGTTGGTCGTGTGTTTTTTGCTCAATATTTCCGACCGTGTGATTCAGAATTTTTTCTTAGCCGTGTTTGATGGGAAATATCCGAAATATTGTGATATCCTTTGAAGACTCAGCAAGAAGTGGAAAGATGAATAGAAATCGATTCGAATCGAACAATTGAATAATGAGAATTACCAACGATATACCTTGAAGCTGAAACATTAATCCAAAAACGTACAAAATCCGATTTTCGATGACTTATTCAACTTGCAGAATTAATGTCTTTTGGAACACTTGTTTCCTTAGTCATTCGTTTCTTGTGGTATAACCAAAAAATTGCTGCGAAAAAGCACTGAGAAATCAAAGACAACTTTTCTCGTGACGAAGAAGACTTCGTCTTCTTTTTATCTTTATTCAAATTTATTTCGGGTTTGTTTTAATCAAAAATGGAGCCTGAATCTAAGGGGATATCAATGCATTTTTTGTGTTAGTAAACATAATAAAAGTTCTTAAAATGAAAGTCTGTATGGGATGTGGAATATGTTGAGTTGAAATTGATTTCAAACTTAATTACTCTTTGATAAATCTATGAAATGCGTGACACTTTTTCATACTTAATTTTTGTTACTTTTTTTCTTCAAACGGTGAACTGTTTACATGTGTTTATCGGCATTACTTTTAGTGGTAAAGCTTGCTGCACACACTTCGCATTGAATCCTCTCGCCGGTGTGGTCTTTTCGAATGTGAAACTTCAATTTGTATTTGTCTCGACGATACTTCTTGCATAAATGGCATTGATACTGACGGTAGCCACAGCTATCTTCATGGACCTCTTTTTCGTCTTTGGTTGCGTATCCTCCAAAGCACTTGGAGCATTGGAATGGGAATTGATCGCTGTGTGATGATGACAAATGCTGATTTAATTTGATTTGTTCGACGAATTGTTTGCCGCAAATTTGACATTCGATCGATTTTTTGGCTCCGTGTTTTGATTGCATGTGCCGCTTTAAATGAGTCTTGTAAACAGTTCTGTAATGACACTGATTACAGACAAAATGACTTCGTTGGCAGCGCGTTTCGTGTGCTTGCTTATCTTCTGCTGTGGCGAATCGTCGACCACATTTGGAACAGGCATTCGGCAGTTCATTTCTGTGCGCCATTGAATGACTTCGGAGATTAGAGCTGCATGTAAATGACTTGAAACAAATTGAGCACTCGAACGGCTTTGCTCCGGTGTGAATTCGCATATGTTTCGTCCAATCTGATTTGTTGATTGTTATATATCCGCAAATATCGCATTCGAATTTAAGAGGATTACACGATCGTTCATGATCGATCTTGGCTGATTCTTGCTCAAATCCTTGATTACATTTTGAACAACGAAATTGGCCATGCGTTTTCTTATGACCGTTCAGATGACTCTTTTGTTTAAAGTACTTCGAACAAACATCACACTGAAATGGCTTTTCTCCAGTGTGAGTTCGTAAGTGTGTTATGAGATGAGACTTGTAACTAGCCAAATAATTGCACACATGGCATTTGTGCTTCTTCTGCTTTTTGGCCGCTTGATTCCTGGGAATCGGTCGTTTATCTCGTCGTTTGGAGCCTCTATTCCATTTCTTTCCACTACCGACTGATTGCGGCACTTGAACATCGATGGCGTCACCCATTGGCTCTTCATTGTCATCACCAGCGCTGTCATTCGATCGTTCACATGGTATCGATTCCTTTTCTTTGCCCGTCTCTTCTTCTTCACATTTGATCTCATCCTTTACCTTATCGAAGTCATAGCCAAAGTCGATCGGTCCTTCGTAATTTGCACGATATCTTCCATCAACTCTCGGCCGTGGTATGTTCATGACATCATCATCACCATTAGGCTCTTCTTTAATCACCTGTTCTTCCTTGACCTTTGCGGACTTTGACTTGCGCTTGTAGCGCCGACCAGCACTACTTTTGAACGGGTTCATTTCCTATTGGATTCAAGCGAAAAATAAAAAATCACACATAAATAAATGAACCAACTCAATGTAAAACACGTGTTTGTCTCGTGTGTGGCAAAGATAAAGTACACAGCAAATGTACACTTATGTCTGAGACTATTTTCTGACAATTTTCATTAAAATACTATTTATATCGTCTTTTCCACGACAGAATGGCGAGATTCCGAGCTTAAAATCGAAATAAATGAAAAATATTCAACACTTACGTCTGCCGATGCCTTTTTTCTGCTGAAAATTCAATTGATTTTTCTTCGCGTGTGTCGTCTTTCAAAATGTCTGCCTTACTGTGTGACTCACCGAACATTCTAGCAAGCTCAGCAACACAACCAGCGGCTTCGTTGCTACGATCCACACACTTGCATTCATTTGTATTGGTGACTTGTGTCACACTTGTGTCAATCAGTAGCTCTGTTTTGAGCAAATTCGGAGTCCGATTCAAAACCGCCCGTTAAATTCACTTAGAGTTTTATTTTACAAATTTGAATTTTGCTGAACACATTTCTTTCGGATTTATGATCATTTTATCATTCGAATTAAAAAAAATTTGACGTCTAAGCAATTCTCAATGAGCACATATTGAAGTAGAGAAATTCTTAGTTCAACGGCCAATTTTAGTCGTCACTTGTATGATATGAAAGAATTACTGAATATTTACTGAGTCATTGACAACGAAATAGAGTAATGAATGGGCAAAATCGCAAGCGATGTGAATGAAAAAGGAACATTCTGGAACTTTCATTTCGATGAACATTCAGACAATGTTTTTCAAATCAACTATGAAAAACTTGTCATTGAAAAATGTGACATTTCATCATACGACATCGGAATTGCGCATTCACATCGAAAGTTGATATAAAAACATACAGTAAAACCTCCTTATAGGGGAATCGCATGGTTCTAAATTAATTATGATCATTTGGATGAAATGTTCTTGTTCATGTGTGCAACACTCGCGAGTGTCTCTCATCGAAAGGTTTTACTGTAAATGAAACAAAGAGTTGTCAAACCACAACAAACTCTTTCGTTCTGTTTATGCTGAAATGTAAACAAATTAGAATTTAAGATTGTCCGATGTTCATGCCTTGTAAATGCGATAAATTCTCATTTTCTCAATAATGTTAGAAGAATCTGATTGGATTGAATCATGTCGGATTTTTGTGGCATTTCTCACACAGCACTGATTATACTAAATGCTTGTTGAGAGGGACACGTTCGTTCGAGATGAACATCGCACAATCTAACGTGAGATTGTGATAAACGTTTGAATGACATGTGATCATAAATTATGTTCCGCCTTGCAACCGAGTTGATCGTTGACATTCCTGCAAAATGCTACAGTTGAGCAAGACTAGATTGAATTAAGGCTAATGAAATTGAATTTGTTATGCGTGCATGCTGGAAAAGTATGCAAATCGAATTAATTGTGTGGTTTGTAAAATTACCTGAAATGACCTACCACCATGGTTAGAACCACTCCAAATCACTAATTCATCCGTCGAGTATTGATTAGATAATGAATCAACAATGCCTTGGAGAAGATTTAAATTGTGTTTTTGTTTGTAATCGAACATATCTGGAGTCTGGAGTGTGACATTTTTGAAGTGTCGGCAAGGAATTGAGCAAATGGACAAGAGATTATAAATCAATTCAAATCGAGCATTGAAATAATGAGAATTATGAACGACGCACTTTGAAGTGGAAACTTACGAACTCGATTGCAATGCAGAATTGATTTTACCAAGATAACACATTTTCCAACAGCATTTGTTTCTTTCGCTGGCCAAGATAAACACAACACTCTTCTTTTTTATTCCAGTTTCAATATATATTTCTGTTCCGTTTTGTTTCAATCAAAAATGGAGCTCGAATCTAATATTGATAATTTAATGAATATTTTATGATTAAACAATTTTGAATGTTATTTTAGAATAATCTCGAATTTTTCGAATGAAAATTCTTCAAATGGATCAAGCTTTGATCCAATTGGCGTATCTAATGAAAGGAATCATGGACAATTCATTGAAAGTGCAACTACTTTCCAACTATTGGGATGAGTGACATGTTACTTCTTCAAGCGGTGCACTGTTTTCATGTGTTGATCCGCATATCTTTTCTGAACAAAGCTTGCTGCACACACGTCGCATTGAATCCGCTCCCCAGTGTGATCTTTTCGCATGTGTGCCTTTAAAACAATGATGTTTCGTTGATACCCTTCACACAAATGGCATTGATACTGACGGTGTCCACAGTTGTCTTCATGAACCTCTCTTGCATCTTCGGTTTCGTATCCTCCGAAGCACTTGGAGCATTGGAATGGGAATTGATCGTTGTGTGCTGATGACAAATGCTGATTTAATTGCATCTGTTGAACGAATTGTTTACCGCAAATTTCACATTCGATTGATCTTTTTGCTCCGTGTTTTGATTGCATGTGCCGCTCCAAACAATGCTTGCTAAAAGTTTTGTAATGACACTGATTACATGCGAAGGGACTTCGTTGGCAGTGCGTTTCGTGCGTACGCTTATCGTCTGGTGTAGCAAATCGTCGACCACATTTGGCACAAGCATTTGGCAGTTCATTTTTGTGCGTCATTGAATGAATTCGGAGATTAGTGTTAGTTGTGAACGACTTGAAACAAATTGAGCACTCGAACGGCTTTTCTTCTGTGTGGATCCGCATATGTCTTGTCAAATTTGATTTGTGCATTGCTCTGTATCTACAAATATCGCATTCGAATTGTGCAGGATTGCATAACACTTCGTGGTCGATCTTGACTGATTCTTCTTCAAATCCTTGATTACATTTTGAGCAACGAAATTGGCCATGCGTTTCCTTATGACTGTTCAGATGACTTTTTTGTGTAAAGGACTTCGAACAAACATCACACTGAAACGGCTTTTCTCCAGTGTGAGTTCGCAAGTGTATGACGAGGTTAGTCTTCCTACTTGCCAAATGATTGCACACATGACATTTGTGCTTCTTTTGCTTTTTAGCCGCTTGATTTCTGGGAATCGTTCGTTCGTTTCGTCTTTTGGAACTTCCATTCCGTTTATTTCTACTGTTGACTTGTTGCGGTGGTTCCACATCGATTGCATCACCCATCGGATCTTCGTTTTCATCATCGTTGACGGCGGCACTTTCATTCGATCGTTCACATGGTGTCGAGCCTTTGTCTTTGCCCATCTCTTCTTCTTCACATTTGACTTCGTCCTTTACCTCATCGAAGTCATAGCCAAAGTCGACCGGTCCTTTGTAATCCGCACGATATCTTCTATCAACTCTCGGCTGTGGTATGTTCATGACATCGTCACTGTCATTGTGTTCTTCCTTAATCGTCGGCTCTTGCTTGATTTCAACATTTGAGCACTTTGACTTGTGCTTTCTGCGTCCCCAGAGACACCTTTGAATGGGTTCATTTCCTGTTGATTCGGCAAAACAATATCGAAAACAATGATTAAAACGTAAAATTAAATATTGAAGCCTCAATGATAATGAAAAGTGATTCAACTAAATGCAAACCACGTGCTTTAGCCGCCTATGTAAATAAAAAGTACGCTTGACATGTGCACTCAGCACATACGCTCATAAGTTGGGTTATGTGCTACCAACTTTCAAAGGCATCTATTGATTTTCACGATTTTCAACATTTTCGACCGAATCATAATATTTTATACTCAAAAATTGACATCCGAATGAATGAATAAATAAACAGAAAATGCCTTACTCCTACTTTCGTCGTCGATTTTTTTCTGCTGGAAATACTTTTTTCTCGTGTATCTTTCAATACGTCTGTCTCATTCGGCGGCTGATAGAATAATCTAGAACAACGTACAGACTGTAAGCAACAGCATCGATGCCTAAAAGCCTAAAAGTCACAAGCGTGCTATTTGTATTGGTGTGTTCCGTGAAGTTCTCAACGACGCGAAGTGACACTTCATTTCGATTGGTAGCTCTCTTTTGAGCAAATTCAGAGCTCAATTCAAAAATATCGATTGAACTCATGCACAAATTTTCTTTTCCAAATTATTTTTTTTCTTAATTTTCTGAAACTAAACGTTCTGTTTTAGCCACATTTTTTGTGTTCTATGGAAAAAAAATAATTTATTTTTGTATAATCAATCTGCGATTCGAATTGGAAATGCTTGATGATTGAGCAACAGACTGAACTTGATTGAAGTGGTGAAATTCCAAATTCTATCGCGAATACCCTATTGTCTCTTGTCCACAGAAATTGAGTTTTACAAAATATTCATTGAGCCATTGCAAAGAAATAGAATGGCTGAAGATTGAAGGAAATGGCAACGACAAAATTGTTAATTCCTGCATTCCGCATGGAAGAAACAACTGGTCGATCAAACAATAATAAATTCATTCGTTGTGTTTATGTTGGCATGTAAACACATTTGCAACAAAGAATTGTGCCTGTCTTGCGTGCGCAATGTAGTTTCCATAGTCGAAAAAAAAGATGTTCGATTTTAATTGCAACTTTTTTGTCTTCCATTTCGATTGAGCGAGCACAAAATATACTATTTTTCTCCAAAACATTCAAATGTCAATGAGTTTGGAGTCAAATTTCATACGATGACTTTCTGGCAACACAATGCGTCGACGAATCGGAGTGTGTGTGTTTCACTCACAGCCAAATCGAACGGGTTGAAGTATTAGTGCGATGTTCATCGATAGCTAAACTGATTTTAAATCGTGCGTCGCAAGTGCTCACGGTGAATGCTACGTCGAGACATGCTCGAATCCTTATCGTTGTTCTCTCTTTCGTACTCTCACACCTCCGCCCACTCTTCGTACATTCCATAAAAATATTTGCATTCGAAAACGAAATGAGAAAATGCGGAAAATGCGCGGTTTGTCAAGCCAATTTCGAACGCAGAGAAATAATTTCCAAACCAACCGAAATCAACTTTGGTATTTTTCTTCTTTGGAATGAAATGCTTTTTGCCGACTTCATTTGTGATGAAAGACAACCAGAAATGATATAACGTCCAATCACAATAGAAAATGACTTGATGACACCAAGTTGGTGGTGTTGAGGAAAATGTGTGCAATTCAGTTGGCCGTGTATATTTTTTGTTGAATAATTTCTACCGTGTGTAATGGGAAATACCCAAAATGTTGTGATGTTTTCTGAAAATTCAGCAAAAAGAGAAAAAAACGGTTGGAAATCGATTCGAATCAAACAATTGAATGATGAATTATAAACGATGTACCTTGAAGCTGAAACATTAATTTCAAAACGTTCAAAATTCGCTTGTCGATGACTTGTTCAGATTGCACAGTTGATTTTGTCAATGCAACACATTTGTGGTATAACCAAAAAAATTGCTGCGAAAAAAGCACTGAGAAATCAAAGACAACTTTCTTCGTAACGAAGAAGACTTCGTCTTCTTTTTATCTTTATTCAAATTTATTTCGGGTTTGTTTTAATCAAAAATGGAGCCTAAATCTAAGGGGGTATCAATGCATTATTTATGTTACTAAACATAATAGAATCTCTTAAAATGAAAGTCTGTATGGGATGTGGAATATGTTGAGTTGAAATTGATTTCAAACTTAATTACTCTTTGATGAATCTATGAAATGCGTGACACTTTTTCGTACTTTATTTTTGTTACTTTTTTTCTTCAAACAGTGAACTGTTTTCGTGTGTCGATCCGCATGACTTTTATCGCTAAAGCTTGCTGCACATACTTCGCATTGAATCCGCTCCCCAGTGTGATCTTTTCTCATGTGAGTCTTCAATTTTTCTATGTCTCGACAAATCTCGTTACACACATGGCATTGGAATTGACGGTGTCCACAGCTATCTTCATGAACATCTTTTTTGTCTTCGGTTGCGTATCCTCCGAAGCACTTGGAGCATTGGAATGGAAACTGATCTCTGTGTGTTGATGACAAATGCTGATTCAGTTGCAACTGTTTGACAAATTGTTTGCTGCAAATTCCACATTCGATCGATCGTTTTGCTCCGTGTTTTGATTGCATGTGCCGCTCCAAACAAGACTTGTGAAAAGTTTTGTAATGACACTGATTACATGCGAAGGGACTTCGTTGGCAGCGTGTTTCGTGTGTTTGCTTATCGTCTGGAGCGGCAAATCGTCGACCGCATTTGGCACAAGCATTTGGCAGTTCATTTTTGTGCGTCATTGAATGAATTCGGAGATGAGTGTTAGTTGTGAATGACTTGAAACAAATTGAGCACTCGAACGACTTTTCCCCAGTATGAGTCCGCATGTGTCTTTCTATATTTGTTTTTTCCATTGTTCTATATCCGCAAATATCGCATTCGAATCGGCGTGGATTACATAACACTTCGTGGTCGATCTTGACTGATTCTTGCCCAAATCCTCGCTTACATTTCGAACAACGAAATTGGCCATGCGTTTTCTTATGACGATACAAAGTACCTTTCTGCGTAAAGGACTTCGAACAAACATTACACTGGAACGGCTTTTCTCCAGTGTGAATTAGCAAGTGTCTTATGAGTTCAGCCTTGCAAACTGCCAAATGATTGCACACATGGCATTTGTGCTTCTTCTGCTTTTTGGCCGCTTGATTCCTGGGAATCGGTCGTTTATTTCGTCGTTTGGAGGTTCCATCCCGTTTCTTCCCACTACCGACTGATTGCGGCACTTGAACATCGATGGCGTCACCCAATGGTTCTTCATTGTCATCACCAGCGCTGTCATTCGATCGTTCACATGGTGTCGAGTCCTCTTCTTTGCCCGTCTCTTCTTCTTCACATTTGATCTCATCCTTTACCTCATCGAAGTCATAGCCAAAGTCGAACGTTCCTTCGTAATTCACACGATATCTTCCATCAACTCTCGGCCGTGGTATGTTCATGACTTCATCATCACCATTAGGCTCTTCTTTAATCACCTGTTCTTCCTTGACTTCAACCTTTCCCGACCTTGACTTGCGCTTGCAGCGTCGACCAGCACTACTTTTGAACGGGTTCATTTCCTATTGGATTCAAGAGAAAAATAAAAAATCACACATGAATAAATGAACATCCTCAATGTAAAACACGTGTTTATCTCGTGTGTGTGTGTGGCAAAGAAAAAGTACACAGCAAATGTACACTTATGTCTGAGACAATTTTCATTAAAATACTATTTATTTTGTCTTTTCCACGACAGAAAGGCGAGATTCCGAGCTTAAAATCGAAATAAATCAAAAATATTCAACACTTACATCTGTCGATGCTTTTTTTCTGCTGAAAATTCAATTGATTTTTCTTCGCGTGTGTCGTCTTTCAAAATGTCTGCCTCACTGTGTGACTCACCGAACATTCTAGTAAGCTCAGCACCACAACCAGCGGCGTCGTTGCTGCGATACACACACTTGCGTTCATTTGTATTGGTGCCTTTTATGACACTTGTGTCAATCAGTAGCCCACTTTTGAGCGAATTCGGAGTCCGATTCAAAACCGTCCGTTAAATTCACTTAGAGTTTTATTTTACAAATCTGAATTTTATTGAACACATTTCTTTCGCATTTATGATCATTTTATCATTCGAATTAAAAATTTTGTGACGTCTAAGCAATGCTCAATGAGCACATATTGAAGTAGAGAAATTCTTAGTTCAACGGCCAATTTTTTCTCATGTTGAGTCAAAGTCATACTTAAGTTCTTAAGAAAATGACATTTTGGGTCTATACTGGGCTCTGATGTTGTGCACAAATTCAGAGACCGCCTGAAATGGCACGCACAAATTACGCACAAAATATTGGAATCGTGCCGGTATTCTGGGAGATTCCACAAAAATCATGCGGAATTATTGTTTATTTTTACAAAGTCTAAACAATACACACAGCTAACGGTTGCAGCTAGGCACAATGGTTTGTATTGAGTTGGAGTGAGAAGTGTATACACATAGACGTGCTTGATGATCGTTCTGTGTGTAAGAGTAATCGAGCATATCGTATACTATTCTCTTCTCATTCTTTTTTATTTGTAATCTTTTCTTCTGACATTTTGAACACAATATCACAACATTTGTTTTTGAAAATGACAGTTGAAAACCAAGAGATACAGCTCACAGAAATCAAATGTTGACATTCACACGAACAGTGCAGTTGAACAATGTCACAAGCACACACACACACATGTAGTGGCGCGCAAACGAAGCGATGAAGCCTATTCTATGAACGAGCGTACAGTATAGAAGGGAGAACGAAAACAAAAGAGAAATCAAATTGCAAACATAACTGGTTTTCTAGATCCCTCCTTCACACGGTATGTGCGTTCTCATTTTCGAGATAGGCTCCGGAATCTTACTGCTGCATACACTCAGACGTCTGCTATGCAGAACAATAGGCCTTTGTTTAACTGAACGTGTCACCGTTAGGCGACAAAACCAAATTCATTCATCTAGTTCTGTCGTGCGGAATAATTCCGCATGATTTTTGTGGGTTTGTCTTCCAGAATACCGGCACCGGTGTGGACCATGTAAAAGCAATATTTTTCATAGTTGACTTATATTCACCACACCCATATTTTGCGAAAATCTGGTCTGGCATTATTTGACCACATAACGCAAATCCGAAGGCATATTCATTATGCACAAATTATGCAAAAAATAATTGCATATTCGAACATGCGAAAAAATGCTGCCCCGTCGAGTGGTGAAAATGGCATTTTCAGCAAATTCACCACAAAAAGTAGACTCAAAATTTGCACATTTTTCGATTTTTTCGAGCCGTGCAAATGCATGCACAAATTATTTACGTAAACAGGCCACCGGTTTCCAGACCTTGACCGGCTGGGGAGGGGGAGCCCAATTTTCTAATCAACGATGCCTTGGAAAAGAGTCACATTCGAAGATCGTGTTTTCGTTTGCAATCGAAATAGTTTAGAGTGTGATGGTTTTTTGAAGAAGACTCAGCAAGAATATCACGAAATAGTGACATCACCATAAAAACGTACGAACTCGATGAGAATGCAGAGTTGATTTTGTCAATCAAACACATTTGTTTCATAAGCCATTCGTTTCTTATGGCCATAACGCAAAGAATGCTGCGAGAATAAACTGAGAAATCAAAGACAACTTTCTTCGCGACGAAGAAGACTTCGTCTTCTTTTTATCTTCATTCAAATTTATTTCGGTTTTGTTTTAATCAAAAATAGAGCCTAAATTTAAAGATCTAACCAAGCATATTATACGTTAGAAAATATGAAAAGTATTAAGTTCAATTAGTGTGTCTATTTAATGGAATTCTGGGAAATTGTTTTCAAACATAATTACTATCTATGGAATGCGTGACTTATTACTTCTTCAAACGGTGAACTATTTTCATATGTCGATTGGCACTACTTTTGGTAGCAAATATTGCTGCACACACTCCGCATTGAACTCGCTCTCCGGTGTGATCTTTTCGCATGTGATACTTCAAGTCTCGTTTGTCTCGACAATAATCTTTGCACAAATGGCATTGATACTGACGGTGGCCACAGCTATTTTCATGAACATCTTTTGCATCTTCGGTTGCGTATCCTCCGAAGCACTTGTAGCATTGGAATGGAAATTGGTCACTGTGTGTAGATGATAAATGTTGATTTAAATTCTTCTGTTGGACGAATTGCTTGCTGCAAATTTCACATTCAATCGATCGTTTTGCTCCATGTTTTGATTGCATGTGCCGCTTCAAATCGACTTTGTTAACAGTTTTGTAACGACACTGAGTACATGCAAGGAGACTTCGTTGGCAGCGCGTCTCGTGTGTTTGCTTATCTTGTGGTGTGGCAAATCGTCGACCACATTTCAAACAGGTATTCGATATTTCACCTTTGTGACTCACTAAATGACTTCGGAGATGAGCGTTTCTTGTAAATGACTTGATGCAAATTGATCACTCGAATGGTTTTGCTCCTTTGTGGATCCGCATATGAACTGTCAAATGTTGTTTATGCATTGTTCGGTATCCGCAAGTGTCGCATTCGAATCGGACAGGATCGCATAACACTTCGTGACCGATCTTCACTGATTCTTTTTCAAATCCTTGATTGCATTTTGAACAACGAAATTGGCCATGCGTTTTCTTATGACGAACCAAATTATGTTTATGTGCAAAGGACTTCAAACAAACATCACACTGATACGGCTTTTCTCCAGTGTGTGTTCGCAAGTGTATTTTGAGGTTAAACTTGTCACGTGTCAAGTGATTGCACACATGGCATTTGTGCTTCTTTTGCTTTTTGGCCGCTTGATTCCTGAGAATCGGTCGTTTATCTCGTCGTTTGGAGCCTCTATTCCATTTCTTTCCACTACCGACTGATTGCGGCACTTGAACATCGATGGCGTCACCCATTGGCTTTTCATTGTCATTATCGTTGGCAGCCACGTCATTTGATCGTTCACGTGGTGTCGAGTCTTTCTCTTTACCCGTCTCTTCTTCTTCTTCACATTTGATTTCATCCTTTACCTCATCGAAGTCACAGCCAAAATCGAACGATCCTTCGTGATTTGCCCGATATCTTCCATCAATTCTCGGCCGTGGTACGTCAATGGCACAATCACCGTCGTTGGTAGGTTCCTCTTTAATCATCGGCTCTGGTTTGACTTCAACCTCTGTCAACTTTGACTTGCGCTTTTTGCGTCTACCAGAAACACCTTTGAATGGGTTCATTTCCTGTTCGATTTGGGAAAACAATAACAACAATCGATAATCAAAATTCAAACTACAGTATTGATAACTTAATGATAATAAAAACTAATTCAATTAAATGTAAACGACGTGCTTGATGTGTCTATGCAAAGAAAAAGTACAAACTATATGTTCAATCAGCTCATAGGCTCGAAAGTTTGGTTATGTATTGCCAATTTTCATGAGCTTCGATTGATTTTAATGTCTTTTCACATTTACGGGCGAATCTCAAAATTTTATACACAAAATTGTATAATTCATGCGAATAAATTAATAAATAAATGGAAAATGTCTTACTCTTACGTTTGTCGTCGATTTTTTCTGCTGGAAATACTTTTTTGTCGCGTAACTTTCAATATGTCTGCCTCACGCGGCGGCTGATAGAACAATCTAGAACAACGTACAACACATTCATCAGCATTAAAGCTGAAAGTCACACATGCGCAAGCATGCTGTTTGTGTTGGTGTGTTTCGTTGAGTTCTCAACTACCCAAAGTGACACTATATGTCGATCAGTAGCTCTCTTTTGAGCAAATCCAGAGCTCAATTCAAAAATATCAGTTGAACTCATGCACAATTTGTCTGTTTTAAATTCAAATTTGTTTGAAAAAATCTTTTGAAACTAAACGAGAAAAAAATTTACTTATTTTCGTATAATTATTCTGCGATTCGAATTGAAAATGATTGATAACTGCGCAACAGATTAAACTTGATTAAAGAGGTAAAACTTTAAATTCAATTGCTAATTTCTATTGTCACTTGTCCGAAGTAAATGAGTTTTACAAAATATTTATTGAGCCATTGCAAAGAAATAGAATGGCTGAAGATTGAAGGAAATGGCAACGACAAAATTGTTAATTCCTGCATTCCGCATGAGAGAAACAACTGGTCGATCAAGCAATAATAAATTTATTCGTTGGGTTTATGTTGGCATGTAAACACATTTGCAACAAAGAATTGTGCCTATCTGGCGACAGCGCATTGAAATTTTCATAGTCATCAATCGAAAAAAAATGATGTTTGATTGTGACTTTTCTTTCTTCCACTTCGATTTAGCGAACACAAAATACGCATTTTTTCTCCAGAGCATCGAAATGTCAATTAGTTTGGAGTCAAATTTCATGCGACGACTTATTGGCAGCACAATACGTTGACGAAGCGAGGTGTGCGTGTATGTTTATCAGTGATACACTGTATGACTCACAGCCAAATCGAACGGATTGAAGTATTAGTGCGATATTCATCGATAGTTAATATGATTTCAAAGCGTGTGACAAGTGTTTACGGTGAATGGCTACGTTAAGACATGCATAAATTCTTGCCGTTGTTCTCTCTTTCGCACTCTCACACCGTTGCACACCCTTCGCCCGCTTGAATGTATTGTGTTCTCTCGTTGACTTTCCCACGCTAATTCGTCACAAGCAACACAGCGCACGGTACTTTGCCTCAGTCTATTTATGTTTTGTTTCAGATAAACACCACAAACAGAAGAAATAATCGCGCGCGTCAATCATGTCAAACGTCAAACAACACGAAGAAAATGTAATTGCGATTTTTCAATATTTTTTGCTCGAAATTAATCAGTGTTCAATGCAATAACAGTGACAAGTGATTGTTCTTTTCTCAATTTAATGCAAACTTTGTGGAATTGTTTCAGATGGATAACGAAGTTGGTTCAGTGAAAGATTTCGATCAGTTCGCTGGGAATAGAGTTTGCCAATCGTCACCGAACCAGTCGGAATTGTCGGTTATCTCGATCAGCTCAAACGATTCGGGCGTCTCGTTCGACGACAACTTGAAGTATAAATTAAGGTATGGACATTTTTGTTTACATTTTTCTTTTGAAAATGAGTGAGAAAAATTAACCGAACAGAGAGAAAAGAGAATGAAAATTGAAAAGAAGGGAAAAAACTCTTCGTTTTTTTTCCAGTTCAACACCTTCTGAGGGTGAAAAGTAAAAAGTGTGATTTAATTTAAAGAAAAAAAAAACATTTTGTGATCGAAAAAGGCATTCTTCTGATGAAGTAAATGTCCAATTGACATTGTCTATCGTTGAGGTGTCAATGAATAATTTCTGACACGACAGACACCATCATTGTGTCTTTGAAATTCTACGCATCACAAGAGACAAATGCAAAACATCATCAAGAAAAGTGATTCAGCCAGATGTGAACTAAGTGCTTCACGCGTCTATTCAAAGGGAAAATTCATACGGAAAGAGCACTTGGCACAATGCACATTGCACATACACTTGTTATTTGGGTTGTGTTCTACCAATTTTCGTGAGCATCCATTGAACATCATTCGTCTTTGTCAAAATGTTCAATGCTTCATTTCCACACAAAATGTTCAGTGTTGTTTATAGTTCAGTGTTGTTTTGACAGCATGATTCTTTTTCAATTAAGCCATAATTTTTCTTTCTTTTCCCCCTGAAAATATATCTCAATCCCAATCGATTTTTGATGTGACAAATGTTCTTATCCAATTTTCTGTTCTCTTTTTATTACAGTTCGTTCCTAAAATTCAAAAAAGATACACCGAAAATGTGGTCAGTGGAATTTAACCACTTTCTGAAGCCGGGCCAGCCGAATATCTTTGCCTTGGTTGGCGGACAATGGTTTTCTATATATGAATCAACGGCAAATGGACAAATCAAACAGCTGATGTACTATAAAGATCCAGACGTAAGGATTTATTTTGATATTTTTAGCCATTTTTTCTACTTATTTGCACTGGTTTTTTGGCTTTACGTTGGCCAGATTTGGTATTTTTCATTTCTTTTGGACTTTTTTTCGAGAAAAAAATCAAAATTTTCTTGGAAAAAAAATTCGAAATTCAAACAGAAAAAAACTGAACTTTGTTTTAGAAAAACGATTTGTGTTAGAAAAAGGTCCGAATTTGGTTCAAAACATCCGATTTTTTTTTTTAAAATTCCAAATTTTCAATCACTTTTTCTTTGAAAAATTCAAATCCGAATGCAAAAAATGTAAAAGAATTAATTTTTTGTTCCAATTGTTCAAACTAACAACAAAAATCCACTTTCTAATTGAGTTTCATGTGTTGAATTTTAGGCCAAAGAGGATTTTTACACGTGCTGTTGGTCGGTGACTGGGTCGGGCAAAAGATCGATATTGGTAACGGCCGGTGTACGTGGTATCATTCGAATTATTGAGCCACAAAGTCCAAATGCCAAACCGGAGCATTTGATTGGTCATGGTGGAGCGTTAAATCAGCTCAAAGTGTCACCAAGAAAGCCATTTTTGTTGGCATCGGCCAGCAAGGACCATTCGATTCGTCTATGGAACATTGAAACCAAAGCATGCATTGCCACGTTTCACGCCATCGAAGCACATCGCGATGAAGTGGTTTCGATTGATTTCAATCGTGATTGCACACGGCTCGTGTCGGGCGGTCTCGATCACATGATCGCCATTTGGGACTTAACTGTTCCGGAAATCGCCAACACCATCGAAAAAAGCAAACGCTATAACGTGAATCTGTCTTCACAGGCCATCAAAACGGCGTATCATCCATTTCCAATGTTTTCAACACGAAGCCTTCACTCGAACTATATCGATTGCGTACAATGGCACAACGAATTCATCATTTCAAAGGTAAGTTGAGAGTTTTTTAAATTTTTTGGATTTTTTTGCGGCTTGGAAGGAAAAGATTCATTTTTATAGCATTCTCTTCATTATCAGGGGATTTCCGATAGAATTGTATGGTTAAGTAAAAGGCAGTTGGAATAGTATACATTTATATGGAACATTGAATTTTCGATAATCCAACTGAGAATTTGGGTAAAATTGAATGCATGGCCATTCCATCGAAGTCCAAATATTAATTTAAAATGCAGGATTTTTCACTGCAAAATAGAAGATGTCAAGTAGAATTGGTACTGCTTTTCTTGCACCTAGCATCACCTTATCACATTGTGAAAAGCTATCGTCAGTGCCAGGCTTGCAAGTCATTAATGCAACTCATGTGCATCACAATAATTGGTTTAGTTTACGGCACTTAAGACTATACTTTTTTTTTCTTCTAATATTTCCATTCATTGAATGTTTTAAGCCACATCAGCTAATTCAAAAGAGCCGCTAAAGAAAAATTCCACCCAAATTTCCAAATTTTCTCCCTATTTCCATTCAATTCTAATTCCATTTTCAATATTTTCTCATTTCCAACCTCTATTTCAGTCCAATTTAGACGATTTATACTGTTGGAAACCGGGTTTGCTGCCGTGCGATCAAAGAACTGGGGCACATTCACGCAACGCCTTCACAAAAATTGCCAAATTCAACGTGGAAAATTGCATTTATTATTTTACACGTTTCACAACCAGCTATGATGGGTCTGTTTTAGCATTGGGCAATGCCAACGGCACAGTTCGCCTATGGAATCTTGATTGCATTGATCCAACGGATATTCCCAACGTAACGCTGCATCATTTCAAACGCACCCAGAACATTCGAGATTTGAGCTTTTCCCGTTGTGGTCGCGATCTGGTCTTCTACTGCGATGACGGCACCGTTTGGCTCTATCAACGCTGAACAAAAACAAATGGAGCTGGATTCATCAAAACGCTGAACAACTTGTCATCGAATGCATGAAATAACAGCAGTTTCATTTAAAATAAAACTTTAATTGATTTGCAATTAGTTCAAGTTTTGAATATTAAGCAGCTACGATTCACTGATACCTCATCAAATGAGTTCTAAAGTTAAACTCATGAAAATAACAACAAAAACAAAGAAAAAAACATATGTAGAGAAAAAAAAATTCGCATAAAAAAAACAAAAAAAAGACGGTCCAGAAGCGATATTGGAGAAATTTTATCGAAATCGCTATATTACCGCGCAAAAGGAACCCTTTTTCTACCTCAAAAATGTAATTCAATGTGACTTTATGTTCATATCACCAAAAAATGTTAAATTTCTAGAACTAAGCCCAACATATTGAAGCATGCTTCATGTGCACATTCAAAAGAAACTCATAAGAACTGCGTTCAAAACGATATTTAATAAGAAAATTAGTTGAACTAAATCACTGAACAACCAAAATGAAACAAAAAATGTGAAAAAATTCTAAATAAATGTCCTTATGAGAATAGATCATTTGCTAATCTTCTGGCTTGCATTGATTACTTTCGGAGCGGAAAATTCCAAGTGTGAAGAGATTTCCGCTGTTCGTCATGTGTCATTGTGGATAAATGGTGTATCGTTGCTGTGGTGATACGTGATATATGGTCGATAAATCAAGTGTAGTGACCGACCGGTGTGTAATTTTGAATTGCATGGATTTCATTTCACACTGATACATCCACACACACACTCACACACTTGGTGCGTCGTATCCGTGCCTGGATCAACTGCTTTGAAATGTTTCGTGATTTTGTGTCCATTTCGGTGCACAAGGACTCGGACTTATGCGTATGGAGGATAAGTGTGAATGGCGACGCTAAAACGATTCGTTTCATTAGTGAAAATCCACTTGAATACTCAAAGTGAGTGAAAATCCGTGGAAAAACCGAGTGATTGGAAAGTCATCAGAGGAAATGTCGAATGGAATTGGGTTTTTCATGCACGCACAGTTCAAGAGTACGGGATGAGCGCGCGTTCGCACATTTTCCGCTCTATCACCGATGACCAACTCGATTATTGAGCCAAACGACAATCGAAATTGTATGTAAAAGGGAAGTAGAGAGAGAGAGAGAGAGGTAGGCAGATAGAGAACGAGAGAGTCGGAGAGAACGAGAGAGATAGGAAGAGACATAGAGTGTAGTAGAAAGAGAAAGAGACAGATTGACTCGGGATGAGAGTGATAGGATTGAATAACAGTGAACGAGACACAAAGCAACAGAGACCAAATGAAGAGAACGGGAAAAAGATGCGTTTTGTTTCAACCGTGTGTTGTATGCTTTGCAATGACGGGCAGTGCACAGGAAAATAGATTATTATCATGGTGGACATTCATAATAAACGCACGGCCCAAGCATTCTGGATTGGTAAAAAGATTCAATTGCATTTGATATAGATGAGTGTGTTTGGTATTTGGTACGTGTTGATGTGTGTGTATGAAAGACCACTTCGGCCATCCGAAATGTGTGCACATCAAGCGAGGCAAATATTGACACACGTTTTCGTGTTGTTTCGTGCAACGTGTTGAGGGCTGAAGTATCCAATGCGCATCCGATTGCCTGTACCCGGTGTGTGTTGCAATCTCTCAATTGATTTAAATATACCGACCATTTCCGGCAACAAACACTTGCCACCACGACGACGGCGAGAAATTAAATTCCAATTGCCGCCACAGACACACACACACACACGCACACACACAAAGTGGTTCGTTTATTTTTTTACAGCAAGAATTCCATGTATGTGGCGTGTATTTCAATGGGCCACTAAACGAAATTCGAATCGGAAACATACATTCAAAATGATGCCACTGTCGCCGTCGTCATCGTTGTCGTTGTAAAATTTACATTTCAACTGTTGTGCATCAAGGTGTTGATTTTCAAGCTCGTCTCATTTTCGCACGTATATGATGTCGTTTCAGTTTTTGAGGTTTGTCATCTGAACAGCGACCCATTGCTGCAATGAACGCTGAACATTCACTGACAGAAGCAGAAAAAAAGCACATACACCCCTGTGACGACCAAGAAACTGGTCGATGTGACGATGATTTATATCATGACTACGTGAAGCATTTGGACGACTAGAGTCGTACAGAGACAGAGACCAAGCCAACAACACGTTGCCAAAACGATGATCACAAACCGGAAAGTCATTTAATTGTGATTTAAAAGCTTGTGCAAAAGATATAGCACATTTAATGGACAGAGACAGAGACAGAGAGAGAGAGTGAGAGAAACGGGAAATGACGATACAAATCCGACCCAACCCCAGCGCTGTATACACACAGAGACCCACAACGCACATCGACAAACAAGTGCGATGGCAACCATCCTCCATAACGGACGATTGAAATCGTTTCTCTGGACTGCCATCGGCTAAGATGCGACCGGGTTTGTTGTTGTTTTCTTTATTCATTGTTTCGATGCAATAAACCGATGCTGTGAATGAAATTCGTCATTTAATTTCAAGCGAAATGCTGGCCGGCGCGACAATAGATCGCTTTGAAATTGTGTGCCGCCGTGACTCATGGCACAGTCTACACACAATTTGTGAACAAGGATTTTTCAGTTATTCTGAATTCAATCAACGGCATGAAAGAATAAATCTGGTAAACGAGGACTTTGGAAATTCGTTTTTAATGTTTTCCCATCCTTTTTTCTCTTGGCCGATTGCCGTTTGTGTTCCAGTTGCAACACAGTTTGAAATTCGAACGCAGCTAAATTCAATTTGAAATTCGAATCCAAGTGCATTTCAATTTCGGATGGTTAATTTTAATGGTGTGTAAGTGTTGGCTTTCAATTGATTTGAAATAGTGAAAAATTCACTTAGCAGCCACGTTGCCTCTTTGATATAATCCCTCTTCGGTTCTTATATCCAGATATCGATGTCCATATGGAAGATTAAGAAAAGTATATTGGTATGAAAAATCCATAGAGACGAGTCATTCGGCCTTAATTTATACCCAACTATAGCATAGAGAAAGATTGAAGAAATATTTATTTTTATTACGAATTAAGTCTAAATGAATATATTTGTATATAGCCCAGGGGCCAATCGATACACATTGTGCCAAGATCATGTGTTGATTTACACATTTAACGGGCAAAGTGTGTAAATTATGTCTCTATATCGCTGTCTGTTTGACTCTCTCCGTCTCTCTTGGTTATTCTCTTTCTCTTTCTCTGTCTCTCGAATGAAAGAAAATATAAATGGGTATACTTTTCTTTGTCTATCGCACACACAAACACTACTACACACGCTGACTATTCGAAACACAAAAAATCCATTTAATCTATTTATTTTTGTGATACGGTCGCGCATTCTAAACTTATTATTTCTGCTCACTTTCTTAAAAACTCAATCATCATCGCAGAAAATGAGCGACAGTGTGCAGAGCACTAAAAATCAGTGGACGCATTTTGAAATGAGCGACAATAAATTAAAGAAACGTGACAAACTCTTTATACCGTCTTTATAGCTCGTTGACACACTGCCGCATTTCTCATATTTCATTCAGCTGTGTGATTCATTTATTAAACGCTTCATATTTGCTTTCTGATTGTCTTTTTCGGTGTGTCTTTTCTATTTCTACCTATATTTGATGCTTCTTTCTCTCTCCTCTCTGTGTTTTTCTGTCTTTGTTTCTAAGTGCGTTTGTCTCATTTTATTCTATTTTCCATCTATCTTCCTATCTCTACCATGCTTCCCTCTTTCTTTCCTTCTTTCTTTCTCACACCGGTTAACTCTCTCGCACTGATTCCCTCTCGCATACCTATTTATTTTCATACACGGAATAAAGCTAGGGCATGCCTTTTCTCTTTCTCACTCGCTCCAATGCGATGTGTATGTTGTCCATTCACGCATTATTTTGTTTCGCAATGTACACAATTGTCCATTGGGATTATGTGCGAATCTCATCTTTTTACCAAATTCAACCGCTTGTGAGTGCAACTGGTGTATTTGCAAAGCAGCAGACAAAAAGAGTGACTGCGCTGCGAAAATCGTTTGAATAGTCTCAAGTTGAAGATGAAATTTGCTCATAAAATTCAATTTTCGCTTTTATTTGATTTCTTTTGAGTTTGCTTGCGCGTCGCTAGAAACTTTTGCCATAGATGTGGAAAATCCATTTGTTGCCATTTTATTCAATGTTGTTGCGGATTTTTTTTCTTCATTGTTGTTGTTGCAACTTGAACATCAGTGTGAAATGCGTCGATGGAAGAAGTCGGAGAGAAGTTTGAAAATGGGAGTAAGAGGGTGTGGGATTTACACACTGTGTGAAAGAGGGAAAGAGAGAAAAATAGAATAGCAAAAAGATGAGAAAGACTAAAGAGAGGAAGGAAGATAGGGCAGGAGATAGAGAGGGACAGGAAAAGTGAACGATGAACACGAAAAAGAAAACCAAAATCGCATCGACGGAGGGATTGAATGCAGCACAAATGCAAAGCGCACGCGAAACTTAAGCGTTTTCGCTCGCGCTCACTCCCTTCTCTTCTGTCTCACTTTCTCTTTATTCCGTTGCCGTTTGTACAATCACATTTGAAGATTAGAAAACTGTTTACGTTTATTGTCGGAAAATTAACTGTGGCTCAAGCGCGTTGTTTGTGTTCTCTGGCAAAATTCAAAGTCTGGTGTCAAGTTGGAAACAACAAGCCACCACTACACCTGATTAGCTTTTATTTACTTTTCCCACTCCCCATCGCCCTATTCCACCGACGAGACCAATGTGCTAATGCCTTTTAACATTTAATCTAGAAGAAAATCAGAGCAAAACACTTTCGCATTAATAACACATTATTATCAATGGAGATTTAAAAGACCAAAGACGATGAACATTTATTCAATTCTACGAATTTTTAGTCAAGCTATTATTGTGCTACGTGTGTTTATAGAAATACTTCGAAGAAGACGACGACGACGACGACGACGACACCAACGTTTGCCAAGAGTTAATCCCTTGACTAAGCGAGCACATTCGGAATACGGATTTGCACCATAAACGACACAACAGCAAGCCAACCGTTAGAAAATGAACTAACAACCGACTCAAAGATTGAATCTCAATACGACGCCACAATTTTTATTTTTTTTATTATTCATGGTTTTTGAGCTCCACTTCTTCCGTTGCTTAATTAATAAAATACGGAAATTTTCGGTAAACAATTTTCATCACACATTTCAACAGGTAGCCCAACGCCCAAAATTTATTTACTACTAATCTGCGTGTTGAACGGAAAGACAGCCAAAATGATTTATCTATGGAGCTCTACGTTCTGCTTGAACGGCTGAAAAAAATACAAAAGGAAATACCTATTTTCTCCAACTTTTCATTTTCTCATTACAATCAATAGAAAATGCAGAAATCCGTTGCTTATCCTTATCAATTGTAATAAAGCTTTTCGATGACATAGCATTTGCATTCGGCTCAATTATATTTTGAACAATTTGGCAACGTGTAAAGCATTCAGTATTCCGTTTTTTTGTTTTTAAATTTTTTTTCTTCTGAAAGTCAGAAATTACTTTTGACCCAAAGCAATGTATCAAATATAGAATAATAGAGTATAGTAGTACTTATATACCTAACTAAGACAAATTTGTCCGCAGTGTGATTCAAAATAATAGGGAATATTAGTATTTTATTTTTTATAGTCGAATCAAACCTCCAGTATTTTTACCAAAAAGTAGAACATTTCATGATAAACATCCAGATATTTGTTTGTTTTATGCACTGACCAATTATTCTGTTTTCGGAGCCAAAATACTACGTTCAACGTAAGAAAAATGCAAGTTTTTATATGCAAATTGAAACATCCCAATGTTCAACCAGATGTGTGCAAGGTCAAAAATCTTAGATGGGATCTAAAAATGTTGTCATTTTGTCAATATGTGTTGGAAAAAAAGCGAAGACCCAAAAAAAGGTACTCACTTTAAAAATCGATTCTATCTAGTGTAAACTAGAAACACGTCTGTGTTCAACTGTCATTCCGACTGGAATTCAAGTTTGCAACTTACATTTCGAAACAGAGTTCACTATCAGAAGGATTTTTTATAATTGATTGTTGGCAATAGTGCAACGATGTCGTATTGGAATGAAAACAGACAGAGCCGAATGTCAATCGTCAGTGAGAAACACACACAACTGAATGTCACGTCACATTTAGTTGACGTTCAACTTCTGTGTTAATTGTTGCGCACTAGAAACGAAAACGTCTTTTGGTCGGTCAATTGTAGGAGAAATTAGCAAGCAAACAGTTTTGTTCACATTTTACACGAACAGTCGGACACACAATATTTGTAAGTAATAATTTTTTTAACACCAATGCCATAAAATTCACGGCAAAAAGAATTTTGTGATGGTAAATTGGATGTTTTCAATGAATCGGTAAATTTCTGTAAAAAAAAACATATTGCTAGATTGTACATTGTACGTTTTGTGCGATTACGTCATAGCATTGACATTGCTTTGTTTTTCTCTCCTTTGACATTTCATTTTTCTTTGCATCAGGCTGATGCCATCATGTTCTGAATAAAAAAAAATCTCCTGTCTGATTTCATTTCTTCTTCTTCGTATTTTTGACAGACTGGCATTGGTTATGGATATGGATCCAGGCGAAGGTACTTCGGATGGTCGTATAAGGCGTAAAGCAAACAACAACGAAATGAAAATCAAACAAGAGCCAAACATCAAGGAAGAACCGTCGGATGGCAGTGCATTTGTTTGGGTTACACGTTCAGATGCAAGATTCACAGAGCATGCAGAAACTGCGACATTGAAATTCGAATCGGTGGATGAATCTGCTCCAGATTTTGTTCTCGACTTTGATTCGAATGTTGTAAAAGAGGAAGTGAAGTGTGACGAAGAGAAGCCAGATAAAGGAAAAGATTTATCAGCAGATTCAGGCTCGAATGGAAATGATTCGAATGCTCGTGGCGGTCGAGGTGGTGAACCAATGGTCGAACCAAACGTCACTTGCAAGAGACTCAACCCAATTGGCAAAGGGAAAAAGCGTGAAGGATCAAAAAAGCAAAACAAACGGAAGATACCGAGGAATAAGGTGGCGAAGAAACGAACGGAGCAAAAGTGTCATGTGTGCGGTTATGTTACATTGCACAAAGGGAATCTCACCAAACATATTCGTATTCACACAGGCGAAAGGCCATACAAATGTAATGAATGTTCGAAAAGCTTCGCACAAAAAAGTGACTTGATTCGGCACAAGAAAATCCACAGCGGAGAAAAACGATTCGAATGCTCCGTTTGTTCCAAATCATTTGCACGGAAACGCCATTTGAATGTTCACTTGCGAACTCATGTCGACGATCTTCCCCTTTCTTGTTTGAAATGTGGTCAACGATTTGCTGAAGAAGAGGTCAAACAATCGCATGAAAATCGATGCAAACATCGTCGATACGAATGTTATCTCTGCGAATACAAATGTTTTGCCAAAACTCACCTGAAACACCACATGCAAGCAAAACACACCGGCGACCATCGATACGAATGTGAAATATGTGGAAAGATATTCAACCAGAATGGTAGCTTCAATAGACATTTGGCCGTTCATCGTGATCAATTCCCATTCAAATGCAACAAGTGTCGCCGAGGATTAACAAGACAAGAGGACAAAGCGGCACATGAGAAGATCTGTCGTTATCGCCTGAATCAGTGTCACATTTGCAATGTTTTCAAGCTAAATACAACCAATCTACGATATCACATGCGAGTGAATCACACGGGGGAGAAGCCGTTCCATTGCAATTGGTGCGCCAAGTCTTTTGTTCAAAAACGCGATGCTGAAAAGCACACGAGGCGTATTCACCATTCTAAAATATAATAAAGCGAACACTTGAATT